GACTCCACCTTAACACTACACCAAGACGAGAAAACTCATTCTGACTCTGCATAGGAAGTAAAATAGTTAGATCATTCTTGATAACGTGATTGTAACATGCACAGAAATTAATATCAGACTTCCATATGTCAGCTTCATTTTCTATCAAAAGCAAAAATAGCAACACAGAATTAAATCCACGTTTCCAGACTGCAAAGGACAACTAAATTGTGTCTTTTTTACAAAAGACATCCTGCAAAGTCTTTTAGCGAATGGGAAAAGGTTGTTTCACCAGCTTCCCCAAATGGTCAGGTATCATTTCTGATCTCAACTTATTGTGTGTACAGATAGGAGGGGTGCTTATAATTTGTCTGATGTGATAACCCTACAACTTTGATGCAGGTTTAGCTTCAGTAAACAACTGCAAAAGGTGGAAGCTGTGATAGTAAAATCAAAACCTGTAAATATTTGAAGGAGTTGTTCCAGTGTTTTCCTCAGCAGCTGATCAATACCAGCTGCCCATTTCACACCTCTGGAACAGCTTCCAAGTTCCCCATCCTAAGGGTGCTGTATGCAAACTGCATCCCAACAGCACGCGGCAGCGCACAGGGATCTGGAGCGTGGGTCCAGCAAGGCCCCAGCAGACACTGCCTGGGAGCTCCCACTGCAGCACGTGGGAGGGCTCCCACTGGGGAGATGAAAGCAGAAAGCCAGGACTCAGTGATAAGACTGAGTGTTTTCAATCTTAAAATAGACAAATGCAAATGTAAGCATGCCCAGGCCACCTCTCCTGCCGTTTACCACAGAGCTCACAGTGACGGCCTCGCTTTCTCACAGTGATTCATGAAACTTGGATTTTCAGGAACAAAGCTTTAGCCACCATGTTTCACAAATCTTTCCCTGCGTCTCAACAAATAGATTTCGTAAGTTAGACAAGGGTTCATAACTACAAAGTCCCTTTTTCTAATCTTAACCTTGGGATAAAGAATATTTCTATCAGAAAGAGGTATCAAAAGACAAGACAATGGAGAAGTTTAAGGAGCTCATAGCTTTTTTGGAAATCTAACAGGAGCAAAAGGAAATGCCTTAAAGAGACACTAAATTCAATAAAACAGTAACCACTCCAAATTTCTGAAATCCCAGGTTAGCACTGTTTCATAAAATGTATGGTCACTCATGAACGTGCAGGCTCAGTGTGATCCACTGGCCTACCTCCATAACCTACACTTCACCAAGGGAAGCAGAGTGGAAAACCAGATGACAAAGCCACACACAAATGTTCTGGGAAGTGCCTCCACATAAGCAGCAGAGGTGGTTTTCAGCTGACTCCTTGCAGGGCCTGTTTCTTCTCCATCACCAAAGCTGCAGCACTGTCTGGGAGCCTGGGGCATGGTGGGGTGGCTCTGCAGCATCTGCTCCACAACCACCAGCAGATGCCACGAACGCGGAACACCCTACAACCACCAAAGCTGCTGCAGGTTAGTTTCTGTTACACTGTTTCCTGTTGGCTCCTGCCCTGCAAGGCTCAAATCCTCTCTACAGACGGCAACCTGGCTGAAATGCAGTGATGGATGCCAGATGTATTTTTCTGACACAAATGCTATGATGTGCACAGGTGGACTCCATGTCCAAAGCCAAGCACAAGTCTAGTTCAAGTCTGTCCGGGGTCTCAATCCTTCCTGAAGCAGACCCAAGCTCACCCAAGGAGCCGTTCCTACGGGAAGGAGCAAACTAACAAGGAGCCAAACAAAGCCTTTATGAAAAGGCAGTCTGGGGCAGCTCAAGAAAGAAATACCTCTTTAGTTTCTATCTTGGGCAGGTTAGCAATTTCATCAGCTACTCGACAGATCTGTCAACATTTGACACTGCTCTAATAAAGTACAATTAGGAAAACACACTGAAAAAATGAAAAGCCATGAAATAATTATATACAAGTCTATAAAGCCAATATTCCTGGATAATCACCTGAATTTTCAAATATTTTTATTACTCTGTGAAAATAATAATTTCTGTTATTTTAGATTACATTTCCTGATAGTTTTCAGCAGTACAAAGAGAAATGCAATTGAGAAATAGCCCCATGTAATATACACAGGGGGGAAAAAAACATTCCAAGACTCCTCCAAGCACAACTAGAAGAGAAAATCCCAACTACATTTCAGTTAGAGTCAGAAATCTGGAAACAAAACACATAGATGAAGTATCAGGGCACTGACTTGTACACTTACTTAACCAAGTGTGTGTCTATAAATATATTTCTAAGTTGCTATTGCCAAAACAATTGTAAAATTTAAGAAGAAACACATTAGTCCAACATACGTATTTTTCAACACCAAGGAGAGATTCTCCTTTGTATTGAAGTGTATCATGTTAGTTTGCTCTTGAAATTCATCATAAATGACATGCTTTATGACACATGCTTCAATTAGAAGAACCAGATAAAAAACCAAGGGGTTTTGTTTGTTGCAAGTACTGTTTTTTAAGGACACACATCCAAGCCAATTAAAATTAAATAATTCACCTTGTGATGTTCTACTTTTTCTCTTCTTACAGCTTACAGGTAATCTTTGCCCTGAAATGAAGCAGCAATCCAGACAACTGCAGTCTGAAGTTCCTTTGTATGTACAAACACAGCAAGGTTGCCTTTTCCCCCAAAATGTCTTCTATACATGGAAACCAATGTAGTCCAAATGTCATGGCTTAAGTCATTTTTATCTCAAATGATACTGGTATAACTCTCACTCAGCCATCCAAATGCATGGGTTTGCATCAGGAAACTCCTCCATAAAAGGTCCACCCCTGTCACATTTATGCAGGATGCTCTACTGAAGTCATGAAACTGAATTACCTGATGCAATTAACTCTGTTCAGGAAAAGGAGAATTTTGTGTATTCAGTAATCATCGTGCTTGGGATATTTTTACAATGCATTCCTCCACTCTGCGCTAAATTCAACCCTAAGCTGCTTATGCAGATACTAAACAGAACACGTGATTCACTTGTGCATCTTTGTTCTTTTAAAACGTCTGATAAAGACAAGGAATAGGTCAATTTGCCCCTGTGGAATTCCACCAACCGACCCTTACAAACCTTCTTCCTAGAGGCAGGAATAATATTGGCAAATTATCTGGTTCCAGATATATTTAATTAATATTAAGTGACACAGCTTCTCTTAGTTGTGGACTTCCATTACATAAGATGGACAGACAGCCAAACCTCTGCCACCTAAGGATTTTTTCTAGATGTACTGTATTCACCATAAGAAAAACTCCCCTCGGAATTTGTTACTATGACAATGTATTGCTCTGGAGATCTGACTATGGTGGAGTGGATTTACATTTTCTACCCCTACTGAAGTCTTTGTACACATGAGAAAGCAATCACTTACACATGGGATTACTGTTTTTTTCCAAATGCACAGGGAATGTTGAGAATATATTGGAAATATATTCAGAAAATTACCATGTAACTGCCAATCCAGAAGTCACTGATACCCTAGACCAGCTTCATGTTGACGTTTCACCAGTCATTAGCAGCAGCAGAATGAATATATATTTAAGAATACTAAGGGGATATTAAATTGTATGCAACAGAGGAAATGCTGAAAGAGAGCCAACTAAGAGTAACAGTGAGACCACAATTTTGTCATATAAAACCTGGCCTTCGCTGTATTTGCAAGGCATTTGCGCCTTCAACCACACAAGCTCTTTTTTTTATGAGGCAGTCATTACAAGGAAGACTCCCAAGCATTTGGCAGCACAAGCAGTGTAGCAGCAGCTCAGACATCTCATGGGCTCCAAGGAAAAAAACCTTCCCTTTCAGTTTTGGGACTCATTTGCCAGTGTTTCGCTCGATCCCTCCTTCTCCCTTGCTCATCTACACTAGGCAGTGCTGAAAGCACGTAGAGATTGAAACCCGCTTCTTAAATCCCATACTGGGACCTGGCACCTGCCAGTACTCCTCTCTTCTCCCACTCATGAAAACAGGCTATGAAGTTCTGGACACACACCCCAGTGGAAGAGGGCAGCACAACTCTCTGTCCAGGGTCTGTGACTCTGCAGGCATCCTTTGCCACACGCAGCAAGCACGGAGCTGCAGCAGGCATGCAGCTGTGCAGAATGAGGACAGGACAGCAGTGGGCACAGGCTGTGCAGGATAAGCACAGAGGAGCAGCAGGCACACGGCTGTGCAGGATGAGGAGAGAGGAGCAGCGAGCACACGGCTGTGCATTATGAGGACTGGGCAGCAGCGGGCACATGGCTGTGTAGGACACAGGGTAGCTACACGCCCCTGTGCACTCCCTGACACCCAGACAGAGTGTCTTTAAGGATTCGTCCCTGCAAGGACTGCCCACAGCAGTGCTGCTGCATTGCTTCCTTCAGCCCAGCCTAGAAGAGCTGCCCATGTCGCTGCTGCCAACATCTGTCACCAAATTACACAGAGGTTCTGGCAAACCTAGCCCACTGAGTCAACAGTCACTTCAGCCATAAAAAAATGGGAGATTCTCTGGCTTTCAACTGCATGTGTATGATGAATTTTTTTTGTTTCTGAGGGTTAGAAGGGATCAAAATCCCTCCATTTCTATGCCAGATGTCCATTACACTTCTACTCAGTATGAGAATTTATCAATAAATCTCTATGAGCATAATTAAAATACTCTCAAAAAGGCAGCAGTAACAATAAAGGAAGGGCCAGAAACATGCTTTGTTCAAATGCACAAATTACAGTTTTAATCCATTATCTAAATTATTTATCTGTCCTTCTGCAGAGCACAGTAGTGGGGGATACTTCCACAGGTGGTACTAGGGACAGTGCTTCCCCTGCACCCCACGGAACACGGGGACAGCCGAGCTGCACCGCCTCGGGACCCCGCAGCCCTGGTCACACTCTGGTTTCCACAGAAAAAGCCAGGGGTCCAGGGGCACCCCCGGCCACCGGGGCGATCCCCCGACACAAGAGGGGCCAGGGTCTCGTTCCCAGCGCCGCGCCGGGACCGCCGAGCCCCGCGGCGCCGTGAGGCGGCAGCGCCGCCCGCCCGCCCGCGCGTTGCCGCGGAGACGCCCCGTCGCCACGGCGACCAGCACGCCGCCCGCCCCGGCCGCGGCCCTCCCGGGCTAAGGCGGAGAGATGGTAAGAACCACCTCAGCTGCCACGAGAGCCGCCAGCGTCACCGCTCAGTCCCGTGCTGCTGCGGGCCCTGCTGCAGCCGGCTCATCACACCTTCCCCAGCACGGGCCATGAACCGCATCCCGGCCCTCACTGGCATCGAGGAGAAAGCAGCTCTGCTAAACCGCAGCGCCTGCTTTCCTGCCTCGCGGATGGCAGCCATAGATTATTGTCTCTTTGCTAACACTGGTCGTAAATGAATGCCAGATCAAAAAACACAGAACAGAACAGAACAACTCCACCCCACGTCTCTTTCACTGAAGCAAAGGAGAAAATCCAGGCTAATCCTAAGGGCCACCACAGGCACCCATCCACCACCAAGGGCTGGTCAAGCCACCCGGGCACCAGCTCAACCTGGTGGGCATCCTGCGACCGCACAGGCAACATCGGCCCTCAGCTCCCCCGGGAAAAGAACGAGCCCATTTCCCCTGAGTGAGGGAATCGTGCCTTCAGCAAATGGGATAAGTGGGCACTTCAGAGCTCTCCATTTGCTTATCTGCATTTTTATTTCAGGTGCTCCTCTGCCAAAGGGCTGTTGCAGGAAGCCTGCAGGCTCTGCTCCGGAACGGGCTGATGCCAGCAGGGGCATGAGCAGGTAAAAGGCCACGAACAAGGCCATGCCAGCACCAGCGCTCCCGGGATTTCTGCACTAGCACGTTCCAAACTGCATCACTTGATTACATTTAATGTCTTTCCCAAGAACCATACCCAACACCACAGGAAAACATTTAGAGTTGTAAAATGCATCTAGTTCTTACCTTTGATATGCCTGAGGAGATGTGGGAGGTGTATTGAACACATGCGAATATGGGTGATAGGGTGTCTTTTTCAAAGCCTGAATAAGATTTTGTCTATATTCTGGGTCTATACACCACAAGGACCCCTTTCCAATACTCTGCAAAGAGAAAAGAATTTTTAAAAAATCAAATATTTGATCTAACGGCACAGCGTACTTATTTAGCAGTTTTTGTCAAGAAAAGCAGTGGGTTTGGGTTTTTTGTCTGACAGAAGTGAATATAACTTGCTTGCCAGAGATTATTGCTCCATTAATAATGTATTATGACTATATGATTTAAATCACAATTCTGAGGGAAAAAAAAGAATGAATGTTTGGTTGCTCTTTCCTCCCTCTCTCTTGTTACTAGTTAATATGATTTAATAATATCTAGCAATTTTCCAGTCACCTCATATTGGAAAAATAAGAAGCTACAGTTAACTGTTAAAGAGAAACTTTGAAGAGAAGTATCTTGTTTTTGGAAGTGGTTTTCTTTTCCTTTTGCTGTTATACAAACAGAAACAAGACTAAAAAGGAGAGGGTTAAACACACTAGCAACTGTTTTAAAAATATAAGGACTTAATCCTCCAACCCACATGACATCAATGACATTATACTACAAGAGGAAATTAATCATCTTTTCTCCCCAGAGGGGAAAAAAATACCAAAAAACCCCAAAACAAACCAATGAACCAAAACAACAAAAAAAAAAAAAAAAAAAAAGAGCCCACAGTATAACCAGAGTATAACCATTTAAGGGTGTTGAGAAATTATGATCAGCTAAAACAACAGTTATTGTAATTACCCTTTCATACAAGGAAAAACACAAGCAGTTAATCTGTAAGGCAAAGATTACACTAAAATTCAGTGTTTATTTTCCAGTTACAAGCACTGCAATTTCATTACTCGTCTCAATCCCATCAGAGGTCTGGCTGATGATTTTTTGGACTGTTTTGTGTGAGTTCTCAAACAAATATGAAAACTTTGCCTCAGCTTCACTATGAAAGCATATGGAATGATAGTTCAGGAGCAGTCTTGATCATACATAAGCAAACACCAATCCTAACTTGACTAAACTCAACTGGCAGGCTTTCAAGGCCTTATGCTAAAGTTTTTTTGTAAATGTTGATACTTTCTGGAACAGGTGAGGGAGGCTGTGTTACTGCCTCTAGCTACTTTTCAACCCAGGACTATCCCTTTTCTCTGCTTCAACTTCTCAGTGAAACAAAGCTCTCAGTTAACATGTTAAAGAACAAGCACACACACACACACAGAATCACATCAGAAGAAGGACATTATTTTCTTAAACCATACAGAAGACCAAAACTGGACACCTGTTTCCTTTTGAAAACTAGTATCTTTGCCCTACCACCTCCTAAGTGCTCCTCTGCCCCATGGACAGCTTTAGGATACACAGTGCAACATACAACGTGCTTACAGAGAGCAAATCTGCACTAAATTCTCCTCCCCAAAAAGAAATGAAAAGTCTTCCTCAATGTCCCTGGATGGCTGCATGTGTACCTCGAAAGTTTCCAGCACCATGTGAGACTTAGCTTGAAAGGAGAGGAGAGCAGGCAGCACAACCCACAGGAGTTGTGACAGTCTCCTGTCATCCTGTCATAAAGCCGGGATTCTTTATGCTGCTCTGGTGGAACAGGAGCATGGTGTCAAGACTTTGCAGGATGGCTTCCAGAGTTCAAGACCATCCATCCTTTTACTGCCCAAAGCTGCCCTACCAGGAGGCCACAAAAGAGTCTAAGGGGAGACATCTTCCAGCTCTTGAAATAAAGCAAGGCCCTGATATGGCAAAAAAAGGCCAAGACTAAAGGGGCCAAAGAGACAGCAAGCAAAAGCCTCTTTGGCTCTCATCTCAGTAAAGCACTACAGTCGACAACTGAGAGACCCAGTGCTGCTGTCAGCTGTGGAAGCGGTGCACCACACTTCTCACAGCAGCCTGCATAAGGAGGTTGTTACGCTTAGCCCTCTTAAAATATGGGACAATGAGCCAGACACATGACAAGCCCAGTAAGTGATTTTTAGGCAAAGGACAGAGTCAAAAATAGAATCCAAGCATCCCAAATTCCACTTCCATGCTGTAGCCAAGACCCAGACTAAGAACATAAAATTTCCTTTTAAGCAAGCAATGAGCAAAACTAGGAAAATTTTTCAGAAGAAAACCTTTGCTGGATTCCTTACTTCTTACAGCATGGGATAAGCTTATAAAAAAAAGCTACACTTAAATACCTTATTTGTACTTAGTGGAACACAATATATTGTTTTCAAACTTCTCTGTTTTTTCATCTACTTCCAAGACAGCCTTTTCATCTACCTGGAGGAGATAACTCCCCAAAACCCATCAGTTAAGTTTAAGCTGAGGGCCTTACAATATGAAGACACTACTGAAGAGTAACTTCAAAACCTTTCATTACTGCTAAGATAAATTTGTGTGGCTTACCCATATTCTTGCAAAAGCCAAAAATAATCTCATTGAAAAACAGGAACTCTCACAAAAAATATTGAGAAGTACACTCCTCGTTTAAAAAAAAAAAAACACTGGGAAGGCAGATTTACTATATTTTCTCTGCAACTGAACTGACTTATAATTTACCAGCAAAAACAAATGTAATTTAAGGCAAAGCTTGCCAACTTTGCAATGTTCTCTTTTAAGATAGTTATTTTTGTTTTTCCACAATCACATAACAGAGCATGAAGAAAAAGGAAAACTGAAGTGACATCTATTTAAGAAACCTTCTTGACTGTTGGAAGGTGTGAAGAGCTTTGTTAACTGTCTGTTCAGATGTGTCATTAGTCTTCCCATATACAGAGCAATCACGGGAAAGGAAATCACTGAAGCTCAGACCCTGTTAGTGATTAATTTCCATCTTATGACACTTGGCGTGCTGCTTCACTACCTCCTCCAAGCCAAAAGTCAATAGTGACTCCAATCAAAAACCAGCAAGGAAGGGTCAAAAATAAAAAAATCTCTGGATTACATTTGTCTCCCAGGCAACAAGTGACTGAGGAGTGGATAAGAGCCCCCTGATCTCCTCAGCATTTGGAGTGCTTTCAGACCTCCCCACACGCCACCTCCTCCCAGGGCCAGGCATAGGCACCTCCTTCCTGCCAAACACAGGTTACAGCTTCTGCATTGAATCCCGGTTCAGGTGATTTAAAATTGGGGAATGTTAGTACAAGTCCTCTTCATGTGGTCCAAGAGTAAACTGAGGGTAAACTACTTCAGAAGTGCTGATGAGGAGAGAGAGAAACATACAGTTACCCCATGAAAGTTTGACTGATTATTTAAAAAAAAAAAAAATCCTGATTATCTTTTATATGGAGAAATTGCTACTCCTTTTCCCTCATTTAATATATATATAGATTGTGCACAATATTGTGTACTAACTCCCAATTTATTTAAAAATTTTCTCTCTCATATCTCAAATATCCAATTCCAATTCCCTCCCAGCCTCCCAGCCACTAAAGTCAGTATATTGCCATGAAAAGGTACATGAAACATTCAATGTTCACTTGGCTTCTTCTTCCAATGGACTACATATAGAAGTTTTTAAATACTACTTTATACAACGTATTAGTATTATGTTTGGCCATTTTTTAGTAGAATTGAAAAAAGATTGAAGTTTTAAAATAATTAAAATTCTGCTTGTCAGCTCTTTCAGTTGTTATAATTGGGAATTAATAGCATTATCCACTAGTAAAACTTCTCATTATAAAGATTTTGCCTCCATATACCTTGCAACTAACTGCCTGACTTTGAATCTGGAGGAGCAGCTCCAGGTACCCATCTCTCTTGCAGCAGCATCACCACCAAGATGGTCCCCAAGGGAACAGAACCCTAAGGGAAATCTGCCAAAAGGGAGATTTTTTTTCCTCTGTGATGCCTTGCGTGTGCCTGGGCCTTCTTCCATAAGCCCATCTCAGTCATTTTCCTCAAAGAAAACTGTTTTTCTCACACAGTTTGATGTAATTTACATTCATTAAGCTGGCTCACATGAAGGGTGTGACAAGCATCCAGAGAGCTGTGGCAAAGCAGAGGAGGGATGTGGGGACACAGGGAGGAGAATGGGAGCTGTTCCCTTCTGTAGCAGGAGCCCTGGTGGCATCCTGATGCACCACATGAAACAGCACACTGAAAAAGGAAAACCAGGACTCTGGCTGGACAGAAAGCGTCTGATAAGAAAAATGGCAAAACCAGTATGATGCAGAGCAGGGGTACAGGGGCTGGGGTGAGCTGGGCAGCAAGGCTGGCAGACAGCCCTGAGGGAAAGGCCAGGCTGTGCATGGGAAATCACAGACACCAAGAGACTGAGCACCAACACAGGTGCCTGGAGGCCGGGAGGAGAGAAACCAAAACAAGACACCCACGAGCGACTCCACAGCTCCACTCACGCACCTAAGCTATGCCAGCAGGCTGAGAATTTTAACACAGCTCTGAGTTGAGAACCTTGCTACTCCCAAACAACAGCTGCCTACTGAGTAGATCTGTATTTTCCTTCTCCACTATCAGATCAGGAGGGGATGAGTGGCCATGGCTAGGCTTTCTTGAACCAAAATGATCAGCAGTATGAATCAGGCAGCTACACAGACTGAAGAGCTGCAGATGTACGCTATCTGAAAAGTATGTTATATTGGCTTCACTAGCCATAAAAGCAAAGAGAAAAAGCAGAAATTTCCTATTATTCAACAAAGGGCATTACCAACTAACATCTGCAGCCCCAAGCTATCAAATACTGAAATCACATCACTGTGACATCTGTCCCTGTCTAACTCAGTGTAGGTTGCTGCAGTTGTTAACACAGGAC